TCTGGTCCCCAGCCTGGAAAGATGGCTCAGTGGACGAGAGTGCTTGCCTGGCAAGCGTGAGGAGGGCCTGCGTCCAGACCTTCAGTAAGCACAGAAAAAGTTGGAATGGGGATGGGTATGCATAACTGTCTCCCCAGCACTGGTGGGGCAGAGACAGGATGATTGCTGTGGATGGCTGCCTGCCAGCCCAGCTGGAAGAAGAAGAGAAGGCAAGCTCAAGGTTCAGTGAGGGAGTTTGTCTCAAGGTATAAGGGGGGGAGTCGTAGAGGACACCAGTGTCCCCATCTGGCCTTCATATGCATACATACGCACAGGTGCACAAACCTGAACACGCACACGCACACGCGTACGCACACACGCGTACGCACACACGCACACACGCACACGCGTACGCGCACACGCACACACGCACACGCGTACGCACACACGCACACGCACACACTCATGTGTGTACACCTCCTCCTGGAAATCCTATCCTCTTGGGACTCATGGGTGACTGCTTACCTCTCACCGTTTGCCCCATTCCCTACATTTAGGGACCCCCCCATCCCAAACACATCATTCCTGCACTTCCAGTATAGGATATAGCCGTGTGCTCCCTACTTCCTCTTCCTATGAGGCTAAGAAAAGTCTCTCCCCCCATACCCACTGTTCTTCTCTACCAGCACATCGAAGAGAATCCTAAAATTGTCACATGGCATTATTCTCCCAAGACACACAAGCTTATTGACAACCTATATCCTGACAACCAATGGGTGGGTGAATGAATGAGAAGCTGGTGTGACAGAGAAAAAATTTAGATCACAAATAAAAATGAATTTAGATCTTGTTTAAAAATAATTTTATTGGAGACAATGATTCCTTCCATTCCAGAATCTAGTACTGTTACATATGTAGAAAAATCTAAGAAAATTTTTATCAAGAAAAAAAACAGAAAATAAAAGTGTTTTAGATATTATAATTCTAGTCTGTTTTGGTATTGATTTTTATACAATATATTTTAAATGCTTGAGATTGCTAAAAGCAAGTATTTAATACTTTATTGTAACTACTAGTAAAATTACACATATTTTGGCATCTAAGAATGAATGTAATTTTAAAAATTCCTGGGAAGCAAGACTGTGGATGAATGAAAGCTTAGAGCCAAGCCATACATGGAGGACAGATGTAGCTCTTCTGGGCAGAGGGATCCTACCCCTGGGACAGAACTCTGCTAGATGCCCAGGCCTGCAGGGGACAGTAGACATAAGAAAAGCAAGAGCAGATCTGAGTGTCCCTGTAGAAAACGGTGATGTCAGGTTTGGAAAGAGTCCCCATGAGGGCTGAGGAGAAAGAGGAAGCACAGAGACAGGTATTGGACGAGCTAGAGGCTCAGGAGACAATGCTTGCAGGGAGATGTGAGGGTTCAGTTCAGAGTGGCCCGGGAACACCCAGATGGGATATGTCCAGCAGATGGAAAGTGACTACCAAAATCTGGGCAGGAAGTCAGAAGAGGAACGGGCTTGACAGGTCCTCAGTCTTAACCTGGCATCAGGCTTGACCCATACATTGGGAAATGAGTGGCCCTTTGGTGGCTTGTGAAGAGTTACCCACGGCAGTGACTTCTTTGTTTTGTTGTTGTTTTTCTTGTTCCATCCTCTGTGGTGTGTGTGTGTGTGTGTGTGTGTGTGTGTGTGTGTGTGTGTGTGTGTGTGTGTGTGGTGCATATATGTACATATGAATGTGTACATGTTTTTGCATGTGTATGGGCAAGTGTGTGTGGGTGCACATGCCCATGTATGTACAAGTATGTAGAGAGTCAAGGTTGATGGTGGAGATTGTCCCCAATCACTCTTCTTTCTTCGACATTGAGGCAGGATCTTTCAGTCAAGCCCAGAGCCTGTCCCTTGTGGTTGGTCTTGCTAGCTTGTTCTGAAGATCCCTTGTCACCTGCAGCTTCTGAGGCTGCAATTACAGGTGGGCCGCCATGCCTACCTGATATGCATGTGGGTTTCTGGGGATCCTCATGTGTGTGGCAAGTGCTGTATCACCCCTGAGCAATTTCCTCAGCCCTGTGTTCAGTTTGGCAAGCCCTGTCATCTAAATGCTGGCCTCTGGTTTCCATACATAGTTAGGTCTATTCTTCCTTTGCAATAGTGTTTGGTCCTGCCTTGATCACAAAGCCTTGGCATTACTGTCTTTTGCTTGTTAGATTTTTGCTTTTTGAGGCCAGATGTAACTATGTAGCTTGCTCTCTTAGCCTGGGATCATAGGTGTGTGTAGGTAATGCTGACTTGAACTGCTGTCTTTTTAGCAACCCTACGGTGTCTATATCTTACTATTTATAACCACAGAAAGCAGGGCATGGGGTCTCGGCAGACTGTGGCCTCCTATTTATAGTTCATTCAGTGAATCACAGGGATCAGTGCCATTCAACAGCTCTGTTACAGGAAACGGTATCTGCCGATGCTAAGGGATGATGCTGGCCAGGGGTGTGGTCACTGTTTCCATCAACTTTTCTGTACTTTCTCTGGTAGGTCCAGGGGTAGGGAATCTTTCTCTAGCAATTATTCTGAGTTGGGAGGGAGCCACCCAGCTGGCTGCACACCGGAATGAATAAGCATCTGCCTGCCTGGTGGCCTTTTGCCTGGTGCTCCACATGCCCAGTGACAGGAGCATGTGGCAGCATCCTCAGTGGCTTATTAAACGAAGGCCTGGGAGGATGGTGAGAGAGGATGAAGAGGGAGGAAGAGCACAGCTTTGCTTTTCTCATTGATTTCCCATCCTGGGCCTCTGACTATATCAGACGAGATGGATCAAAGTGTGTTGTAGTGAGAAGCAACATACGACTCTCCGTAGCTCAGAACAACAAAAGTTTATGTCTTGTTCTCATTCCACTCATCACAGGTTGCCCAGGGGCCCCTCTCCTTACTTAGAGTGTCAGGATGATGGAGTATACCCATTGTTGTAACTGTTCTTTGCAACATCAGGGAGAACAAAATAGGACTTAGGAGCATTTTTCTTTGGCTGTTAAGTGTTCCAGGTTTCTCATAGAGTTTCCACTCAAAGCCCATGCGGTCCCTCCCAGTTGCTGGGATCTGGGACACAATGTCTTATGCTCCAAAGGCCAAGTAGTGGGAAGGGGAGTTGGTGCAGAGGGGCCACGGTGCCGGCCAGTGCAGGTGGCCTGCCTAAGCCCCGTCTGGTCTGGTAGGAATAAGGTCCTTACACTGTCCACATCAATGTGACAACGGATGCCTGGAGAATAGGAGGGACAATAAGTATACCACAAGGACATTGCTGCCATGTGAAGTCTCCTGGGGTGAAGGGGAGGAGCCTGCTCAGTGTTTTAGATACTCGGAGGCAGTTGGAAGAGCCATACAGAATAGCATACGTTTGTTAGCTGTTCTCCTCAGCCCTAAAAGGCGAGCTGGCCTCGGTTAAGTAGCTTCCTCCACACAGGGAATCCTCCCTGCTCGTCACAGCTTCCACTCTCAATCAAGTCCCAAAGAGAGGGGAGCAGCGTGATTGACAGAGGAACATGAACTCTGAACTGCCATCATTCAGAGGCTTGCCATTGGCATTGGAGTCGGGAATAGAGCTGTAATGGATGATTCAGGCCTGGAGTAGCTGTCTCTAAACATGTTAATGACTTGGCATAAGTGCTTTGAATGTAGAGATGTTGCGTGTGGCAGCCGTGCATGAGAGGCAGCCCAGCGATGCCCTGCTGGGTACAGGTGAAGCTGGCAAGGACAACTTTGAGGTCCTCTAAGGAGAAAAGATGCGACATGCCCTCTCCTGCCACACAGTTGAGACTCAGGTGCAGGCAGTGCCTGGTTCACCCCCTGAAGTCATGAGCCTGGAGAGACGTGCTCACTGATTAACTTAAGGTTAACGTAGTTCACCCTCCACCAGATGCTGAGGACAAAGAGAGCCTCCAAATGCAAAATACATTTCTCACGTGTGCCTGTATGTGCATTTGTTTTTAATGCATGAATATGTCCTTATCTTCTGCAGGGGCCAACTGGTCAGGTCGCTCTTTTGTCTACAGCAAAAGGCTAAACTCATGTTCTGTACCCAAGCGGATTGGTCCAAAGTGCCAGCGTGTGCACACACACATACATGCACATGCACATGCGCATGCACACACACACACACACACACACACACACACACACACACACTATTCATCTTGCCTTCCGGAGCTACAGTTAGTGACTTAAAACTTCAGTGTTTCTATTTTATGTAAGTTTATAAAGGGATCAGGTTTGGGGATGAGAGGTGCAGGAGAGGATGGATTCCTTTAGAAACAAGTTTGAGATGACCTTTGAAAGACAGAGTTTGTTGGAAGACCGGAACATTCGTGATGACCTAAGTGAGATGCACAGGCCATACCTATGCATGCTTGTGTATGTATGTATATCCTACCTACATGAGTGTGTTTGCATAACCACAGCTTTCTGTACTGGAAGGGGTTCAATTCCCATCTTCTAGTTATCTTTATTTTCATTTATGCCACATGTGCTCACCCAGGAGAGGTGTCCCTCTTCTAGCTGGCCACTCTTCCATCTGGCCACTCTGATCTGAGACCATCTCTCTCCCTTCACATAGTGGCTACTCATCTTCACCATTGCTACTTGGTGTTTCGGGTTTTTCTTGGTCTGTGCCTCATCAGCTATTGCCTTTCTGTATTAGGAACTCCTGACCTTCCTGTATTGTGACACACCTATTAGCTAGGGGGAGGGCACAGAGGAGCCAGAAACACAGAGCCAGGAAGGCGGCAGAGAACACTCAGAGAACACTCCCAGCTTTCCCAGCAGCCCAGATGCTGGGCAGCCTCCTCCCTTGTTCCCCAGGCAGGTACAGAGGGCTTGTGTCTGCTTGGGATTGGGTCTAAACCACGGAACTTTCCCCCAGAATGGTCAGTCACGGGGCGGACCTTTGCAGGGGAGGGAGGCCGAGGGTGGGCGGGGGCGCCTCCTGCCTCTAACCAGGCCCGTGTGCCTCTGCTCCCTCCCCAGCTGGTGCTGCCAGAGTACTCTATCCACAGCCTCTTCTGCATCATGTTCCTGTGTGCTCAGGAGTGGCTCACCCTGGGGCTGAACGTGCCACTGCTCTTCTACCACTTCTGGAGGTAGGTCTGTCTGTCTGGGCTGGCCCACCCTCCTTCACTTGTCCACCCAACGGCAGTCTGCCCAGAGAGCTCAGCCGCCAGGTGCCTGCCGGTCTTTCATCCCTTTCTTTTAGAAACCTTGTTATAGATACACAGTCCTGTTGTGTCTAAACACTCTGACCAAAAGCACTTTAGGGAAGGAACAGGCTATCAGTTACAGCCCGTTACTGAGGGGGCAGGAACCCAAGCAGAAGCCTGAAGGCAGAAACAATGGAAGACTGTTTTTGCTGGCAGACTCATGTCTAGCTAACTCTCTTACAGAGCTCAGGACCACCTGATCAGGGAATGGTACCGCGTACCTACAATGGGCTGGTCCCTCCTACATCAGTCAGCAGTCAACACAATCCCTCATAGACACACCCATAGGTCAGTATGATCTAGGTAGTTCCTCAGTTAAGGTTCTCCTGTGAGATGACTATAGGTTATGTCAAATTGATAACCTAGAACAAACGTACTCTCCAGAGCTGGAAGTAAGTCTTCTTGACTCTTAATCAACCTCAATCCTGCAGGTTAATATGAAAAGCAACCACAACATTAGTCACTGTATCCCACACATGGAAACAACACCGATGCATATTAGCTGATGAATGGGTAAAGAAAATGTGGTGTTTCCATTCAATGAAACATTACTAGGAAGTTAAAAAGACACAGCATACTTAAACATGCTACATAGTGGATGGGCCATAAAGAAAACATACGCTAAAATATCAGACCCAGTGATCACACATTGTATGAGTCTGTTGATATGAAATTTCCAGAATAGTCAGATCTATAGAGATTTAAAGTAAACTAGTATGTTCCAAAGACTGAGGGGAATAGGAAACGACTGCCAGTGGGTAATTTCTTTTTCAGGGTTAGGGTAATGAAAATGCTCTGGAGTTAGTGGTGATCGATGTGCAACTCCATAAAAATAGTAAAACTCACTGAATTGTATATACATGTCAAAAGGGCAAACTTCATGATGTTAAATAATCACTTCTCCTCTAAGACTGGGCTTTGGGTCACATGGTGTGGGTTTTCTGTTGGGTATGGATCTAGAGCAGAAGCGGGAAATACCAGAGGAGTGGATTATAATTGTGTGGATCAGTTGCCTTCCTTGAACCCTTTAATCCTGGAGCTCTGGACCCCCAAGCCAGTTGGTCCATCATTGCCAGTTTCCCATACAATATGGCCTTGAATTATCCACACCTAGAACATTCCACTCTGTCACTAGCAAAGGTATGGAGCACTCTTGCTAGGCATTGAGGGGAACTCCTAGATGAAAATATGTATGAATCTTTATCTTAGGTACATTTTAGCAGCAGAAGGAATAACACACTTAAGTTAGTCTGAAGAGTGTAGGAAAATCCAGAAAAGCCAGGACAAAGGCCCAGAAGTGAGAGAGCACTTGGCATGTTTGGGGGACAGTTTTATCCTTCCACATGGCTGGATAGCAGCTCTTGGAGGGTGCTGATGGTGAGCAGCTGGAAATCTCACATGGAGAGTTCAAGAAGAGTTGATGGAGAGCTCGGGTCCTGCAGGAACTGGAAAGCCATGAGACATTCTGGAGGAGGAAAGTGGCCTTGCTTTAGAAGGTGATCCCGGCTGAGTGTGAAGGATGGGCCAGCAGAGATGTATTGAAGTCAAAATCTAATTAGGAACATGACAACACTCCAGGTGAAGAAATGAAGGCGATAGATAATGGAGATGGGTCCTGGCCAGGGAAAGTTGGCCCAGCGAGAGAACAGAATCTTGGAGGTAAACTGGACAGGCTTTGCCCATGGTTGGTTGTAGGTGAGGGAGAGGGAACCCCTGAACTAGATGGCTTTGAGGACGACAGCTCACCTCATCTGTGAGGGCCATCTGTGTCCCTCCACCTCACACGCAGCCCCAGGGTGGATCTCCTTCCAGCGAAAGAAGTTTCTCTGGAGAGTCTTTAGGTGACGGTCTGTCCATGAAGCCTAGGGAAGTGTGGTCAGTGGCCGGGGAAGTGCCTCAGTGATGAGTCATGTGCTTGCTGTACACACAACGCAGCCTTGGGTTCTACCTCCACCCCGGCAAAGGAAAGGAAAGGCAGTCAACTTGTGAACGCTGGGTTTGTGCTCTAGTCTTAGAGCTAGCACTTGTCCCAAGGGAGGAAAAGGAGAGCTGGCCATTGTCCCCGCACCTGGAATGTGTGTGCGTGGAGGTGGGGAGCAGCCACGGTCTCACTGCCTGTAAGGACCTTGTCTTGGTTTTTGGATCCTTGGTGGCCTATCCTACTTACTCTTACGACGTTATCAGATCACAAAAGACAGACAGAATGAAGGTGGATGTACTGAAGTTCCCCGAGTCCTAGAACACCCCCTTTCTCTCTCTTTCTTTTCTCTGTCTGCCCCCTCCCCCTCCCGCCCACATGTTTATGTATACATAGACACATGCATATGAACATGTGTGTAGAGTTCAGATGACAACTTCCAGTATAGTTCCTCAAGTAGTACCATCTACCTTGGGGTGGGGGGCGGGGACAAAGTCTCTTGATGACCTGAAACTCACTTAAGCAGGTGAGGCTGGCTGGCCTGTGCCCCCAAGAAGCACATGTCTTACCATCTCCAGCTCTGAAATTACAGCCTCACGTCACCATGCCCAGCGCCACCCACTTAGCTGAGTTTTGGGAGCTGAACCGAGGCGCTCTGCTTGCAGGGTCTTGCAGTCTGAACGAATACCCTGGCCCATCTGCCCCCTTCTGCCGGGGAACTGCCAGGCTTTTCTCTAGCAGACACGTCCACCCTCACTCTCGCTTTGCTTTGGTCAAACTGGCCTGGCCACCACTTTCCGGCGGCTGTCTGGGGAGGCCATTTGCATGCATCACCTTGCATCAGCATTCCAATTCTTGTCCCCGTTTTATGGCTGAGCCCAGGATGGGCTGATGACTGACCCAGGGAAGGACAATCTGGTGAGCAGCAAGCAAAAGAGTCAGGCTTAGTCCTTTCTATGAAGTCATTTGGTCACCATGGTCCCCTTCCTCCACTTAATGAGGTCACCTGGGAACAAAGCCACGGTGATGACAAATAGGTTTGAAATCTGCTCTGGGAGAGGAGGAGAGGTGAGCGGCCCAAGGGCTATGAGCTGGCAGCTGCCATCGAATCTGGCTTCTGATGTCCTCTTAGCATAGTGTCGGTGACAGATGATGCCAGTGTGGTTCTCTGAGGGGAGGAAGAGGTGACGGAGATGCAGGTGTGAGCTATCATGGCAGTCTTCAGGTCAGGCCCAGGCCTGTGCTCCTTCTGCTACTGTCCCAGGCCTGGCTTGAGGGGCAGTGTGTACCCTGCCTCCCAGGTCCTTTCCCACCGTGACAAAGAGCAGCACTGGGCCACTTCAGCTGCACTGGGATCTAGGGCTCCACAGGGAAAATATGCCCTGCAGATGTTCGTGGGACACGAACCAAGAGCTGCAGACACTGACAAGAGCCCCAGTTGTCATGCGAGCCCTCCTGGGCTTGGTCAGCAGCTGAGGGGTTGGTGTGGCTGTGGCCTTTGATGAGGACTCCTCCCTCCACCTACGGTTCTCCTTTCTGGCTTCTCTGAAGATGGTCAATGCTCTGTTTGCTCTTCTGGGCCCTTCTATCAAACAAACAAACAAACAAACAAACAACAAAACAGCAAAACAACCCATACCCTATCAGAATCAGCCTGAGCAGGAAGGCGTTATTTGGGCGCGTAGTTTAAGGGGATCCAGCCTGCCCTGGTGGATGGAGAAGGCATGGTGGCCAGGGCAGCAGGAACTTGCAGTGATATTACTGTCTTGGAAGATGGAAGCAGAGAGCTAGGACAGGAAGTGGGGCTATCCTGTAACTTCCTCCACTTCCTCCAGTGAAGCCCTACCTTCTAAAGGTTCCATAGTCTCCTGTCTGCTCCCCCTGCAAACAGGGCTGCCAGCTTGGTACCAAGTGTACCCTCACACGAGCCTGTGGGGGAGAGTTCACATCCAGGTCATAATACTGGGTGACATGTTCCTTCTGTCGGAGCACCTTCTTACGATACCAGGGACCTGCTGCAGGACTTAAACACCCACCGCCGCCGGGAGGCTGTAGCTGAGTCGCACTGTGGCAACGGTTGGAGTCTGACTTTGGCAGGAGGCACAGATTTTCAGGGGAAAGTCCTATGCTAGGTGGCCTTGGGCCGACAGTGTGGGCCTCTGAGCCTCAGAGACATCACTGTCACGCTCTCTTTCCTGCAGGTACTTCCACTGCCCAGCAGACAGCTCAGAACTAGCCTACGACCCACCAGTTGTTATGAACGCGGACACCTTGAGCTACTGTCAGAAGGAGGCCTGGTGTAAGCTAGCCTTCTACCTCCTGTCCTTCTTCTACTACCTGTACTGGTGAGTCCCGCCCTCCTCCTGGCTTTGGCCTCAACAGCAAAGGGAAGGGATTTCAGGCTGGCCTTGAAGAGGTAGCTTTTTGGGAGGTGGGCGATGACAGGAGAGCTTGGCCAGTTGAATCTGGTCCAGTGTCTAACCTTGACTCATGAGCAAGGGTTTCTGGGGAAGGAAGATGCCTTTGTTCACATCCTTAGCAACTCAGGGAAACATCTAATAACATCTTGTAGGAAGCAGCTGAAGGACTGTCCAGGGCTTCTTCCCAGCAGGGCTTCCTGCCCTTGAGAGCCCAGCAGCTCAGCCCGTTGGGGTGTCAGTGAACCAAAGGGCCCAGCCTCATTACCCCTTGCCCTCAGCCTACTTGTGAAGGTTCTTGGGTTCTGTGACAGTGGGCTTTCTCCATCCAGTGCAAGTCATACCCTGCAGAGTGACACATTGGGTCATTAAGTGCTTATGCTACAATTCTTCCATGTTTCATAACACTGTCCTAATTGAGCAAATTCTGCCGACTCTGCGGCTCTGCTGCCGGGTCCCTCTCGTCACCTCATCACTTGAACGCCTCAGCTCAGCAGAGCTCTGTGAGCCATCGTCCTGGTTTGTACTCCCGAGGCTCCTTGTTCTGGAAATGTCTCTTGTTCCCTTTTGTACTCATTTCTGGGGCCTTTTCCTGATCACCTTGCTGTCCAGTCCCTACCTTTGCAGGGTCACAGATGTCCCTGAACACCCCAGTGCTGTCTCTGCAGACACAGAGGAGGGTGGGGGTGCTGACTTCACAGCCACCCCTGGGTTCAGGCTGGGTGTAGCAGGCTGGGGAGTTACATTGCCCAACATTCCAGAACAAACTCCGTGTGCATTGCCAAATTTATGAGATACATTCTGTCCTTGCCCACATATTTAAAATGAGGAATGTGGATCTTCGAAGGTGGAAACATTTCCCAAGGTCACAGCTAATGGTCACACCAAGTATGACTTAGAGGCTGAACTTCAGATAGAGTACAGGACCCCTAAGCAAGTCTTTATCAAAGTGAGGGCGAGGGGATAGAGATAGGCCACTGGTCAGAGTGCAGATGGCTGATGGCTCCCAGGCCTTTAGTAGGAATAGATCTACTGTCCCAACTCCTCACTCTGCAGAGCTCCACACGACTCTGCTATGGGTCTGAGGTGGAACCCGGCACCCTGGAAGGCTAACTTGCTCTTGCTTCCTGCCTCAATCTCCAGAAGCAGCAGATCAGAGACGTGGGAGGTGTGGCCTCATGGTTCACCTCAGCTGTGGGGAGGGGGGGTCACAGAGTTATTCTAGCCCTTTCTTCATGAAGCCAAGGGTTACTCCAGCCTCAGAGTTTTACCCTTCATGAAGGGTCTGGATGCTTCCTGCTCCAAACTGTAGAAGTCTGAGGGCCCCTGGAGCCTCCTTGGAGAAGCTGAGGTGACCAGCGGCTCACCCAAGTCCTTCTGGCTAAGGGCTTAGCAGTTCCAGCACCTGCTATCCCAGGAGGCTACAGAGGGTGGAAAAAGCTTGTCTGAAGGCAGGGGCCACTCCCTGGAGTATTTTCAGGTACAGTTTCTTCTCTGGAGTGAGTTTCACCTCACTTTCTTCACAAGGCTACAGGCCACCTGCAGTCATAGGCTGGGTGGCCTGTCCCCAGATGGCAGCAGCCCATTTTAGAGCCAGCAGAGCATGGCTTAGGCCTTCTCTGGCTCCTGGCCCATTATCCTAAGGTCCATCTTACTTTGGGAGACTACAGCATTCATCTTGCATTTGAGCCGTTGGAGCCAAAGGTAGAGGAATTCCCAGAAAGCAACACTGCTGTCTGCTGGGCCATGGGGCAAGAGGGTGTATAATATGTAGTTTTTCTGCCAGCTGCCTGGGTCCCGAGCTGTCTCAGTCCCCAAATCACACACAAAACACCATATTAATTATGAAGCTGTTGCCTCCGTTTGCTTGATTTCTTATTGGCTAGCTTTGACTTAATTATTAACCCATAACTGCTAATCTGAGTATTTCCATGTGGTCTTCTCTTACTGGAGAAAGGGTCCAGTCCTCTTACTCCTCTGGTGTCCTACATCGTGACTGACTGTGTCTCTGTTTCCCAGAATCCTCCTCGACTCCTAGTCCCACCTATCTTGCTTCCCTATTGATCAACAGTGCTTTATTTAATCAACCTATAAAGACAACATGTACACAGAAGGACTTCCCCCATCAAGGGTTGACGTGGACAATGGGGGTGGCTCTGGGTGCTTAGCCGGGAGTGATCACCCTGTAAGTCCCTCAGAGGCCAGTGAACTTCCTGCCTCCCAGTCTCAGCATAGCGTGCTCACAGCTTTGTCTTCCTGCAGCCCAAGCACCAGCTCAGGGGGCCTCATTCTTCACCACACCCAACATCAAAGTGTCCCCCGCTGTGTCTCCCAGGAGACCCTGTGTCTTCTGCCTGGGGAATTCCCAAACCCAGACCGAGAACTGGCAGATGGCAGAGCATTCGCCTGGGCCGTGTGAAGGGAGGGGAGGTCCAGGCAGGGCAGGCAGGCTGTGAGCTGAGTGTGGAGCTGGAGACTCGGAAGCTGAGATGGAGGCTACGGACCATCCGGCAGTGAGGAGTAGTTCTGAGACCTCGGAGAAGTTAAGGAAAGTCTCTGCGCCCAAGTAGTGAGCCTTACTCTACTGCACTCTGTTAGCCATGTGGCTCCCACCGGTCCCCTCAGAATGTCCTGTGGTGTGGGCGGTATTTATGGATTATGTGTCACAGAGATGAGGCTACAGTCAGCCTGGAGAGCGAGTCCAGTGTAGACGGTTTGTTGCTCAGCAGGAGGACCTTTCACCCTCTTCTCTCTCTCCTTCCTCTTCCCATCCTCCCCTCCTTTCTTTTGCTTCCCCTTCTCCTCCCCTTGTCTGTCCTCTCCCTGTTCCCTTCCCCTCCCCCCCAGTCCTCCTCTCCTCTCCTCTCCTGTCCCTCTTTCCTTGTCCTGGAGAGCAAACCTAGGACCCCAGCCACGCTAGACAAGCAGTCTGCCACCGGGTTACGTGCCCTCGGCTCCTTTTCTACTTGAGACCGAGTTTTGCTGAATCGCCCGGGCCACCCTTACCTGAGCCTTCAGCCTCGGACTGTGTAGCTGGGATCACAGGCACGCACCGCCGGCCTGGCTAGGATTCTGAGAGTAGCCCTGGCCCACGTTATTCACGGAAGCTACACCATTCTGTCCCTTTGGGCCGTCCTGGTCTCGCCTTGGCCGTTTCCTCCTAGTCTACACTTACGTTGTTTATGGGTCGCTTGTCTCCAGATGGCAGAGAACCCGTCTGTTCCCTTCTTCTCTATCTCTGCTCAGTGCACAGCACATGATATACATTCACCTAATCTGTGACGTTTGTTGTCACAGCTCGGCTGCCTGTTCCTTCTTGGTCAGGGTCCGGGCCACACGCTCTCCATTATTTCCCTGCACTGAGAATGGTGCTTGGTACATAGTAGGTGTTCAGTGAAAACCAAATAAAAGAAATACAGCGAGTTAAACAGGGTTCTCCACAATTTGGCTCAGTCCACAATGGGCAGAGAACTGGCTTTGGGGTTGGAATGTGGTGATTTGTCATGAGCTGTATAGTGAGAATCATCTGTCTAGCTCCAGATCCAACCACTGGGGCCGGGCACATGTACCATGTCCTTACTCTAGATGGGGGACTCCCGAGGAGCTCAGTGGTTTCCTGGCTGTGCAGGATGAGGAGGAAAATAGTTTAGGTCTTTTTATTTGGTTTTGCTTCTTAGTTATCTTGTTAGAGCTAGGGGAGGGGTCTCTAGTGGAAAAAGCTGTGCTTCTTCCTCTTCTAAATAGACAAAGCAGTAGACTGTAGTTCTGGTCAACCCATCAATCTTGCAGAATTGGCCTGAAACCCTTGTTAGGCCCCTGCTTGGTCACAACTCATCCCCTAAAGCAGGTTTGGGGACCTATACTGAGTTAAGATTCACCTACCTTATTTGCCCTGAGGACTGTGTCCATGCATCCACACTGGCATTGACAGCAATGATCTTCATCCTGACCCTTGGAACTGACACACTATGTGGCATCACCGGGGACCCTTGGTTGTAGCCATCATGTGAGCATGTGGTAGCAGCTGGCAGCATGAAGAGGCTGCTGTGTCCTCACCCCATAGGCACCTGGCCACCGAGGTCATCCCAATGAGTGTACTCATAGGCATCCAGAGACAACACATCTTTCTTGGGGGATGTGGGATACGGGATGTGGGATGCGGGGTGTGGGATGCCTTCCTAACAGATGACATTTCTGTATTGTGGGGTGCGGCAAAGCCTCAGTATGTGAGTCGGAGACCATAGAGACAGGACTGAGGTGACTCCACGGGCTCCAGCTTTGGAAGGGGACCGTTGAGAGTCATGGGTTCCTGCTGACATCCGCTTTCCCGTTTCTGTTTGCATTCAGCATGATCTACACCTTAGTGAGCTCCTAACTGAGACTCTGCTGATGGAGAGGCCGAGGCTGGGGACCGCTGTGGCTGTGGCTGGAGAAGGACCAGACGGGGATGATGGAGACACCCAGCTTGGCAGAGGCTGAGTGGAAGGAACTGGAGTCACACAGCAGCAGGGCCGTGCCACCCATGTGCAGCTGCCGTTGCTGTGTATGTGGCCCTCCACGTCCCACATGGATGCAGAGCCCTTCTTAGTGTCGGGGGCACCGGCTTACAGCTGCTGAAATGCTCAGCCTTTGAAGATGCAGTTGTCCCTCCCCTCATCCCCTTCGCTGAGCTGCAGTACCTTGCAAGTCTACATAGAGTGCCTGCCTTGACGGCGGGAGTGAGGCCGGAAGCTGGAAGGTACCAACCAAGGGACAGAGTGACTTGGGATCAAGGCTGGGTCTTCAGAGATGATTGAGAGCCTCACGGATACCACGGGCTGCCCAAGACTCTTGTTAGCTTTTTTCCAGACCTATGGCCTCATGCTTTGCTCAGTGCAAGGCCGAAGCTGCGGGGTCTGCCCTGAGCCTGCTGTCATGTCATTTTTAGGCTCGGTTTATGTTCAAGAGCCTGAGCAGCAACTTCCTGAGCTGGGTGTGGGCCAGCACGTTGACAGCAAGTTATGTCCAAGGTGAACTGGGGAGGGGAGTGTGAGAAAATGGATTTTTAAAAAATGTTTAAAACATGTTCCAGGTGTGAGTTCTTCACCATCCCAAGATGTAGTCTGTCACTGCACCAGAAATCCATCAGAGTTGTGACGTGCCAATCAACTGGCTGGCATGAGCCAAAACCTAAGGAAAAAACTCAAAACCGTTTGAAGCCCAGAAACAGAGAGCTGCTCTGTATGTGGGTATGGACAGCCAGGAAGTGAGACAACATAATTATCACTTCACTTGATGCCACGCAGCCTTTGCGTTGTTCAGTTCAACGTGGGGACATCCGCTTATTTGAATTTTCCACTTGGCTTTTGCTCCATTTTTGGGTGGGAGTTGTGTGAGGGGGTGTAAATAGTGACACGGCTGAGGTTTTTGTGATATTTAAATTGGGCACAATGATGTTTGACCTGATTCCCCAAACTTACTTGCTTTTTCTACCATTACACACAAACTCACACACACGCGCGCACGCGCGCACACACACACACGCACACACGCACACGCGCGCTATTTATATATGCTCCCATCTGAATCTGTGACTCAGGTTTTGAATGGTGTTTGTGTAACACATTATGTGCTATGTTTAAAATGCAGCAACAACGTCAGTGGCTCACCTTACTGGCTCTATCATTTCAACCCATCGCGGGCTGGATGTGTCTCCATATGCTTGGCAAACTAGTAGGTAGAAAAAACAGTTTCAAAATGACACTATGTTTCTAAAAATTGTGCAGGAAACAAAATAGGGAGGAAAAAAAAAGATTCACAAGGAAGAACAAAATCAAAGCGCAGCTTCCTTGAGGGGCCAGCAGTATAAAATCATAGTCTTTGCAGCCGGGGTTTGGGAGAATGTTTTTCTCTGGCAGGAGTCCTTGCTACTGCTGGGTAACTTGTTGGGGCTGCATGACCTCATGTGGGTACCATTTCCAGGATGTCTAGTTTCAGCCAGCAAGTGTGGAGTCTGGGTGACAGGTACAAAGCTAACTCCATCACCATCTTGCAAAAAAAGCAGCCGACATGCAGAGGGTAAGGAAGGGGTCTGTGTGCCTCTCAGGATGAGTTTGCTTTATACATCATATTCTTCCAAAGGGTTTGCAGTAGTTTTTGACAGGAGACACCGATATCAAAGATGGTTAATGTGGAATTGGGAAATTCATACTACAGGGCGTTACATTTTATACTTTCCTAGCACACTGAATCCTCCACAAAATTCAGTTGTTTTCTCGGTTTCAAGAGAGGGGACTTTTGAAGATTTGCCTTTGAACTGATGTCTGACTTAAGAGAGCATGCCCTTTCTGTCACCCCTGTAGTCAGGGTCCTGGTAAGTTCAATGGCTAGCATTGACTTTTATGAGAAAAGATCTTAAGGCACAGAGCTTTGGAGGAAGTGCCTGGGGGCAAGGGTTCCTTTAAGGGAGGCAAGCACTTCTTCCCTTAGTCCTTTAAAATCTTTAAAAGCTGCTCTTAACTTTATGAAAGAAAAGCATTCCAAAAATTTCCTCTGCCATCAACTGTGACTGGGAAATAAGTCCGGTGATCTCGTGGGAGTTACAACACACTTTCAGTCCCCCAGGAGAAGCTCATGTTCCTGGTGGTAAAAATGAGCCAGCTGGGCTCGTGATGGAGCAAGGCAGGTGTGTGCCAGGTGCCTGGGCAAATGAGAGGCGCTGCTTGAAGACACACACAGCTGCTCAGAGGCGTGGCTTTACAACCATGCGGGCTTCTTGCCCCGTGATGTGGCGTGCATGCTAACTTTGTCTCTTGCTGTGGAACCTGTGAAAGGAAGGACAGAGAGCAAGGCAAGAGAATTTCCCAGAGGCTCAAGAATCCAAAGGAAATGTTTCTGTTGAGCAAGATAAAACACATGTACCAAGCACAGGTCAGGGGGCTTCAGGGGCATAGCCCATGCCCGAGCTGGCCTGGACCATGGACTCTGTTTCCCTGCTGTAGCCCTGTGTGGCTGTGCTGTGTGGCCTGGATGGCAGAGTGTCACACAAGGTCACCCTTTGCTAAGGTGAAAGAAGAATGTCAGGCTCCGCCCTGGCTTGCTATAAAGATGGTTGACTTCATGTATGCTGTGCCGGTAATGGTGACTATGTAGGAAATTCTGCCCTGCCATCTACATGGTACCCAATGCCCAGCTTCCTGCCAGCCATCCCATATGCATCTCATTCAGTCCTCACAATGATGTGATGAAGGAGGAGCTATGACTGTCTTCATGGCCGTAGTCGAAAGCTTTGGTGTACAACATACAGAGGCAAAGGACCCAAGCTAAAGTCACACTTGCCAAGTTGCCAACCCAAGTCTTTTTGCTTCTGGGGTCTTGATGTTTTTGCGCCAAGAGTGATGCAGTGTAGGAGGGTGACGGGCTGTGAGCAAGAAAGAAGAAAGGGAGAGATGATGGACAGGATAGGAGCTGAGCAGCAGCCTCACGAGAGATGATGGACAGGATAGGAGCTGAGCGGCAGCCTCACCTCACGTGTCTCTCGTGTCTCACGGCAAGCAACCCGAGTTGCCTGACTGCCCTCAGGAAGATGGGGTGGTGACTTGGTGGTGCTTAACTTTCCTGAGACCCTGCTTTCTCATCTGTCACAGGAGGTGCATACCACCTCCCATGGGTGCGATGTCACCGGTGTCTAGAGAGCTCATAGCAGAGAGCCTGTCTCTGGAGTCTTGGCCCAGGAAATCTCATTCCTTGATCCTCCCCACACTGCCCCTCCCTCCTCCCCACACTGCCCCTCCCTCCTCCCCACACTGCCCCTCCCTCCTCCCCACACTGCCCCTCCCTCCTCCCCACACTGCCCCTCCCTCCTCCCCACACTGCCCCTCCCTCCTCCCCACGCTGCCCCTCCCTCCTCCCCACGCTGCCCCTCCCTCCTCCCCCACTGCCCCTCCCTCTTCCCCACACTGCCCCTCCCTCCTCCCCCACTGCCCCTCCCTCCTCCCCACACTTCCCCTCCCTCTTCCCCACACTGCCCCTCCCTCCTCCCCCACTGCCCCTCCCTCCTCCCCACACTGCCCCTCCCTCCTCCCCACACTTCCCCTCCCTCTTCCCCACACTGCCCCTCCCTCCTCCCCCACTGCCCCTCCCTCCTCCCCACACTGCCCCTCCCTCCTCCCCCACTGCCCCTCCCTCCTCCCCACACTGCCCCTCCCTCCTCCCCACACTTCCCCTCCCTCTTCCCCACACTGCCCCTCCCTCCTCCCCCACTGCCCCTCCCTCCTCCCCACACTGCCCCTCCCTCCTCCCCCACTGCCCCTCCCTCCTCCCCACACTGCCCCTCCCTCCTCCCCACACTTCCCCTCCCTCTTCCCCACACTGCCCCTCCCTCCTCCCCCACTGCCCCTCCCTCCTCCCCACACTGCCCCTCCCTCCTCCCCACACTGCCCCTCTCTCCTCCCCCACTGCCCCTCCCTCCTCCCCACACTGCCCCTCCCTCCTCCCCACGCTGCCCCTCCCTCCTCCCCACGCTGCCCCTCCCTCCTCCCCACACTGCCCCTCCCTCCTCCCCACGCTGCCCCTCCCTCCTCCCCACGCTGCCCCTCCCTCCTCCCCCACTGCCCCTCCCTCTTCCCCACACTGCCCCTCCCTCCTCCCCCACTGCCCCTCCCTCCTCCCCACACTGCCCCTCCCTCCTCCCCACGCTTCCCCTCCCTCCTCCCCACTGCCCCTCCCTCCTCCCCCACTGCCCCTCCCTCCTCCCCCACTGCCCCTCCCTCCTCCCCACACTGCCCCTCCCTCCTCCCCCACTGCCCCTCCCTCCTCCCCACACTGCCCCTCCCTCCTCCCCACACTGCCCCTCCCTCCTCCCCACACTGCCCCTCCCTCCTCCCCACGCTGCCCCTCCCTCCTCCCCACGCTGCCCCTCCCTCCTCCCCACACTGCCCCTCCCTCCTCCCCACGCTGCCCCTCCCTCCTCCCCACGCTGCCCCTCCCTCCTCCCCCACTGCCCCTCCCTCCTCCCCCACTGCCCCTCCCTCCTCCCCACACTGCCCCTCCCTCCTCCCCACACTGCCCCTCCCTCCTCCCCACGCTGCCCTCCCTCCTCCCCACTGCCCCTCCCTCCTCCCCACACTGCCCCTCCCTCCTCCCCCACTGCCCCTCCCTCCTCCCCACACTGCCCCTCCCTCCTCCCCACACTTCCCCTCCCTCCTCCCCACACTGCCCCTCCCTCCTCCCCCACTGCCCCTCCCTCCTCCCCACACTGCCCCTCCCTCCTCCCCACACTTCCCCTCCCTCTTCCCCACACTGCCCCTCCCTCCTCCCCCACTGCCCCTCCCTCCTCCCCACACTGCCCCTCCCTCCTCCCCCACTGCCCCTCCCTCCTCCCCACACTGCCCCTCCCTCCTCCCCACACTGCCCCTCCCTCCTCCCCCACTGCCCCTCCCTCCTCCCCCACTGCCCCTCCCTCCTCCCCACGCTGCCCCTCCCTCCTCCCCACGCTGCCCCTCCCTCCTCCCCCACTGCCCCTCCCTCCTCCCCCACTGCCCCTCCCTCCTCCCCACGCTGCCCCTCCCTCCTCCCCACGCTGCCCCTCCCTCCTCCCCACACTGCCCCTCCCTCCTCCCCACACTGCCCCTCCCTCCTCCCCACACTGCCCCTCCCTCCTCCCCACACTGCCCCTCCCTCCTCCCCACACTGCCCCTCCCTCCTCCCCACACTGCCCCTCCCTCCTCCCCCACTGCCCCTCCCTCCTCCCCACATTGCCCCTCCCTCCTCCCCCCACTTCCCCTCCCTCCCAGAGGATTATGTAGAAAAAAAACTAAATGTGTCTCTTAAGTAGCAATGCTCAGTGAGTCTCAGTTTTCTTCCTGTTCTCTCCTTCCTGGGGGTGGGGGTAGGGGGTGGTGGTGACAGTCCCAGCCATGCAACAGGGGTAACAGCTCAGCCTCAAGAAAAATACCCCCTCTGCTCCCTATTTTTAGGCTTGGTAATTGCACCAATGTTGAATAAAATTGTCATCGTTATGACAGTTTTATTCTCCCACATAAGAGATGAATGCAGCCAGCAAAATGCTTTGACAACAATTAATTGCACTCACATTGTGTTATCACGCAGATCCGGTTTATAGCCCTTTCTTTTGGGGGGACTTGGGCTGCTCTGTTCCACACTGTGCTCTGGCATGTGACTCCGTAGAAGCTTCCCCTGTTCCTTAGAGCCAAAACCAGCCATCTTCCCTGCTCCTTCTGCTCCAAGGTTGAGCCCCAAAGTGAAGCATGGGAGGTGAGTAAGGAGGGATGGGTTCCAGATTGCTCTATGACAGGGCTCTCCCTGGGAGACGGAGCTAAGCAAGGCGGATACGCCTGGTGGGTGTTCCCGGGGAAAGTAGGGTCCCTGTTTGGGAAGAACATTCTTTCCTCACAGAGAACTGCATACGATGGGATGGCAAAGCCAGGCACATTCTTCACAGCTCTGTTAGTACGGGAAGACCTCGTCAGAACTGGGGGTTGGCTCTTCGTTGCTGCTCATGATCCAGAAACAGCCTCACCAGAGCGGCAGCTTCCAGACTTTGATCACTGTGTGACCGCCCCTGCCGTCTCCCACAGCCCATGCAGTCCTTCCTCAGTATCCCTGGACCCTTGAACTTGGACCCTTGGCTTCCAGGTGGCAGCCACC